AAGTTCATTCCGTGATTTACATTAGGCTTAAATTTATTCATAAACAACTCATGTGCAATTTTTTTTTTTACTTTTAATAACCAGACAGTCCACCTTTGTTTCTCAGTACATTTTTAATTCTATTTGGCATTGAATTAATTAATAAAATCAAATGTTTCTGAGGTATTTCCCTCCATGCACGTTGAAGGCGGCGACGTAATTGGTCGAAGGACGTTGGGCGCGGATCCTTGTAGGCCTCGCTGTCAAGGATACGCCACAGATTTTCTATGCAAATTAGGTCTGGGGAATTGCCAGGCCATTCCTCTTTGGAAATTAAGTTTGATAAATTATTTTTACACTAATTCTGTGTTACGAGGGCAGTGTGAGGTGTCGCCCCATCATGAACAAGCGTAGCATGTCCCGGATATTGAACCAACTTTTGTTCATCAATCCTGCCATTGTTTTTCTGTCGATTCAGTGCAGGTTTTAGTTCTTTTTGAAGAATTTTCTTAACAAAATAATTTGCATTTATAGTTTCACTGACTGGACTTGGACAAACCATGAACTCCCATTGCACCCCATATCATGACTTAATACATGAAATATTTTGTAGATTCGTCACTAAAAATGTAGTTCTCCCAGTCTTCATTCGTCAAATGCTTGTGATCACGAGCAAATTTCAATCTCTTCTGCCGTTGTATCTTCGTCAGTACCTGATTTCTTGATCGTTTAAATGCCTTCCCTTTTTTATCACCATTCGAAAATAATTGAATACTGTTACATACCCACATTAAAGCCTGAGTTCCTTACTGCATTTTCTTGTCCATTTTCCTCTCTTTTTTTATTTTATGTTCTCCACTTTCCTCTTTACAACGACTACTATCTTCGACGGTCGGCCAGATCGGTTAGCTGTTTATTTTGCTCTCGCCTTCTTCTCCACTTCCTTACCAATCGCTCACTTTTACACAGTTGTTTAGCCACATCCTTCACACTTAATCCTGCATCTAATAAAGCCAAAGCTTGAGCTCGTTTGTTTACAGTATCGACACTTGTACATGACGTCTACTTTTCCACCGAACTCGTCATTTTATTTAATGACGTATTAGACATAAATGTTTACAGGACTCTATATAAAGTAACATAACAGAGTGCATATATGGAAGGATAACTGCTGATATGATGAGACATATTCTACAGTTTTACCAAAATATTTTTTTAACAGAAATATTGCTTTTATCAATTTATTTTTCAAAATAAACAAACAGAACGAACTTTCTTATCACCCTTTATTTGTATAATTTGAACAACAGTTTGAGTTGATAATCTGCATCGTTCAATAAATCGATGTGAACTTTCAAACTACAAGTATATTTATTCTTAAATAAAACCATCAATCATCCAAACAATTTAAGTAATGAAAAACAGCCTGGAAAACATAAGTATTTCTTAACGAAATATGTATGTGTAGCTCTATTGCAGAACACCGTGTGTAAGCTTAACAAATGTATGTAAAAAAAAAAAAATAGAATTTCAGCTTGTAAGCAAAACAATTGATCTTATTTAAGAAAAATAACACAATCATTTTTTTCTTCCGAAATTAAAATGCATGTATCCTTGCTTAAATAGATGCCTCTCTCACAGAAGAAGTGATATCTGTTTAGTAAGACAATTTTATGTTTGACCAAGACACATGATTTGGTAAAAAGTGGGAAAATGTAACTTAACAGTTCAATATAAAATTTGAAAAAGTTTTAGAAATCTATGAATTTACGTTACTGTAAAGTTTCCTGGAACCTTTTAAAAAAACTATTGTTACATTTTACACAACTGAAATTTTCTTATTAGATTTAATTTGATTGATTGATTGATTGATTGTTATTGTTTAACGCCGAGTCGGCAATATTTCAGCCATATTTCAGCGATAGATTTATTTGAAAGAAATATTGAAAAAATAGCAATGTAACTCTTCTGTGTTGGAGTTAATAAAATCTGTTTGCGGTACATTGTATGTATCTTTAAATAGGTTTAATACTATTGAATAAACGACAAGAAAACAACAACAAAATCTTTACTGATTGATTTCATTGCATATACGTTTTCTGGTCGTATAAGTGGACACGACTTTGTTTTTATGAAATTTACTTTGGCTGTCATTTCAGCTTGGGCAAGCCACAATATATCAACATTCCTCAGCAAACAATCTCAGTGTTCAACTTCAACTGTTCAACACAAATTACAAAATTCAATTGTTTGTATTCTACCTCTTCAACACGTATCTGGACTTCTACTCTTTAGTCAGCATCAATATTATTTAACGAATATGCAAGCTGAATCAGCATAACTTCGGAAAAAGGCGGTCGTTGATTAAGAATTCAACAAAAGTTACTTTCACATGTAGTCATCTTCACCCGGGAAAAGGCGATCAAGTACGACTTATATCTTAGAATTTTTCTAAATATTCATTTGCTTTTCTTGAGAATAATAAAGGTGCCACGCAATACGCCACCTGGACATCAATCCTCAGCTATTTGATGTCCACAGTCATCAAAGTGGGGAAGTGGCAACCTGAATTAGTCAGTGCCCACTTCCTTTTTAACTAACTGTATAAACAGCCTCTGGTGTGGTTAAACGTTTCCAAAGATTCTTGAAATGTAATAAAAAACAAACAGTTTCCTAAGTCTTATAAGTGCACTCGTTCTCCCTGAATAAATCTGAATAAATGGTTCCAATCGTTTGATTAAAAAAGCCTCATCTTTTAAAAAATGTGTAGTAAACCAGCTAAACTCAAACAGTGTAAAACATTACTATATCGAACATTGATATTCCGAATACCAAGAATATCTCGAAGTCTCTCGAAGTGAGTTTGAAGTCCAAACCATTTTTGTCATATGTATGTCAATTAAAACTCGATATCTCAAATCAGGTTTTTCCTGTCCCCGTTAAGTTTGAACTTTAGGAGATTGTCTGTTTTTACGAATGATTATTACTTTGCTTCGAGCTATCATATCTGCAAGAAAATTTCTTCAAAAACCTTTTAATATAAGATAATTCCAGGCTTTTTTTTTTTTAATAAAAAATGACTTATTAATAAATGCTCTTAAGAAGGTTAATCTACTTTGTTTGTTTGATCTGTTGAGACGAGTCTTTTGATCTACAGCTGAAATTTTATTTACATTAGAATAAAAATATTGGTGGTTTCTATACATGAAATATATGGAGATAACGAACAGTATTTAAGCTCAAACGTCCATTAAACAATACAAAATAGGAACATATTTTTAATGGAAATTTGTACATAAATCAATTCTATCTGTGTATTTTTGCTTGCTTAATTCGTCTAATTTATATTTTTTTAATTGTATATTTTTCATTTTATTATCCTCAGATATATGCTACATATGCATTTAAAATGCAAATGCCTCAAAATAATAATGATCTTATACGTCGCTACATGTATTTGCCACTTTAAATTGATGTATTTTTCAAATAAAAAAACCTGTTGAATACTTTTGATGTTGATGGTGTCTTAAAATTTGCTTTATTACTTTCATTTCAAAACATACTTGTGAAGCGATTTAGGGAACATGCATTGGCCATAGACTAAATGTACAGGTGAATATAAAATCCTGCGCTTGAGGATAATAATCGCTTATAATAACAATAATGGTATGGATTTCAAGTTAAATTAACTTGAATACCGCACATAAGATCAGGAAGAATATATATATATATATATCTATATATATATATATATATATATATATATATATAACAAATATGGAAATAATATTTATTCCTTATTTTCCTCGATCTTTTTTTTCAGTCAATTAACTGTGGATCAAAAACATTTCCCATTAAGAAAATACATGTAGGATATTTAAAAATACAGTATAAGGTTTGACTTTGAAAACGATCAAATTTTGCTGTTTTAAATAAAAACAGTACATTTATAGAACTGAAATTACGGAGAAAATAAAATTTACGTTGTTTTCTAGAACATCTATCATTTTAGGAAACACTTCTAAAATATTGCTTCGGGTAGATACACTTTACAGGTAACTGTAAATGATAGCATGATACATGTAATACAGGTTAAACAGATATTCGTCAAAATTTTAAGTCAAAATATGGATAAGAAAGTAGCATAGATTGTATTATAAATATATCAAATTTGGAATGGACTGCATTTGACATATTGAGCAGTTTTAGCAGCAAGTGTAAAGCTGAAAGGGTGAAACATTATATTTCAGAAAAAAAAGCATTGTATCAAAACTTGTTAAAATTGATCGTTAAAATTAATTAAAAGATTGACTCAAAAAAATACATTTAGATTAATCTATCCACCTTTAGAACTTGGAAAAGTCGAGCAAAAAGAAAAACCCCTCTACTGTTGTCGGCGAACCAAACAGGTATTGCTTTATTATCATCTTATGCTTCCAGTTAGAGGATTTTATAAGTTATTGTTTACGGAAATCTGGCAGCTTCCAATATCTATTTAAAACTGAGATTACCTCCCTTATTTGAATGTTTGTACTTTGCTTCAAGATACCATTTCTAAAATCTAATATGCTGGGCTTTGACATTTAATCTCCAATTTACAGAGATATTTTAGAGATGCATGTAACAAAACCATTATTTTCTATGACTTTGTAATAACTTCACTATCATTCATTTCTGTAAGAATATATACAGGACCACCATTGGCGAAAATTTTGCTTGGTTTACCATGTATTTTATTGAAACATGAATAGGAATACACTAAAGGTTACTAGATTTTCAAATTTAGGACAGAAGTTAAACTGAAGACCTCATGGGAACTTCAAGAAATCACTGAGACACATTCGATGAAATCGCAGGAAATATCCACAGGAACTGATGTGTCAAGAATCTCCCCGAAAAATATCAGTGAACGTCGTCCAAATATATTACCTGAATTTCATCGGCAAGTATAAAAAAAATAGAATAAAGTATATGGCCGATTTTCTTCAGCAGTACTTATGTTGTATTTCATGTACGAAGAGATGTTAAAGTTTCTCTTTATAAAATCCACCTCACGGACAACAGGTAATTTATGATCAGTAAAATTCTTCTTATTCTAGAATTTTTTGATGTTTCGCTAGAGAGTCTTAATTATGTTGTAAATTCTGACATTCTTCAGGAAATATCTACTAGGGGTAATCCCTGCAGATTAAATAAAAATCATTAAAAATGCAATTGTTCTATCTGTATTGCATCACCAAAAAACGACATGCTTTAGGATTTTCGACAAAATATCTACTATAAACCTTTTTACAGGTTTATTTTCCATCGTTTTCTATACATTGCTTTCTATACTTTTTCAGTCAATTAAAAGAATTCAGCCACAATTCAATTCAGAGGAAAATAGTTTTCATGTTTGACGACCTGATAAAGATAATTGAGAGTGAGGAATAAGACACAAAACTGCGGCAATGCTTGGAAAATGCATCTCCAGATTGTATGACCTTTATCGCAAAGCGAAAGAAGGATATTTTAAGATCAGATCATGGAATCGTGGTTGCAGGTAGAATTAAACAATCTTCAGAAAATTAAATGAAATGAATTTATGTTGCTTCACCTATTAGATTAGCTACATGTACATCAATATATCCTGTATTTGCAATTCCTAGAAATTAGGTATTTAATAAACTTTTTACTGACAGTCATTACAACTTTTAATTTTTCAGGAGAAACGAGTGCCGGGAAATCCACACTTATTAATAAAATATTAGGAATAAAAATCTTTAAAGGAAGAAACATGGAATCTACGTCTACAGTTTGCAAAATACGAAATTCTGAAAAGGTAGTAATAAGAACGGAGTTAGAAACTGGCGAAGTTGAGGTCAAATATATTGGTGATATTGATGTAGAAACAAAAGAAGGAAAAAAATCTCTAAGAGACACTTTGAAGGAACTTACAGACATGACCGTTCGAAAAGGCAGCAGCAAATATAAAAGTGTTGATATTGGGATACCAGTATCCTTTCTGAAGGTACCAAATTGATTGAGTTTGTAAAAAATCTAAAATCATAATTGAAGTTTTGAGTTGATATCATAAGTCTGAATTTTTTATTTCTAATTCTTTGATTTTATAACCGTATTTTTCTTCAAAATAACGAAAAATATTTTTCGTTACTCAGGGTAATACAATAATGGTTGATACACCAGGTATTGGAGGTTCTGGAAAAGTTAGTCAGAAAGTAATGGAATACTTGCCTAATGCAGTTTCTTTCATTTTCGTGATTAATGTGGCAAGTGCAGGCGGAATGCAAAGAGACAGGGTAATTAAGATTTCTCAATGTTAAGAAAAAATAAAGTATTATCAATAGAGAGAGAGTATCATATGGTTCTGTAGCATTCCAATGTCCCATACGTTGAACAATAATTTAAATTTTCTCATATCATGAAACTTTCCAAGATTTCGAAAAAAAAATGTAAGGTTAATAGACTTTAGCAACGTGTCAATAATAGCACCTCAAAAACGATAAACAGTTTAGTTGATCTTTAACGTTTGATTTGCGATTTTGTTGTTAAAAGGGAAAAGAAACGGGAAATTTTTATGAGGTCAATCCATAGGTATATCAACTTCACAGAATACATATCGACTTGGCAAGAAGTGCAAAATTGATACACTGATTGTATTTCTGTGAAGTTGATATATCTATGGGTTGACGAGTCAAGGGGTTTCATCTGTTATATTTTTTTCTTTGGAATAAAAAAATAAACAAATAAATTCGTTATAAGATTTTGTAAGTTTTAAAGACCTCTTACTATTTTAAATACATCTTTGGATTTTCCCTAAGTTGATTTTAGTATCTCAAGTCATTATTGTAAAATGTAACTTTGCACGTGATATCAAGCAAATCAATCAGATTTCTTGAATTACAGTGTATACAGTAAAAGAAGGAATACTTTAAATACTGTTTCTTTTACCTTTTTATACGTACATGGGTTAAACTTTGTGACCATAACATTTGGTATGATATTCTTAGCATTTTGAATTTTAGTTCACTTGAGCCGAAGACTTAAGGGAGCTTTTCTGATCAAAGAGTGTCCGGCGTCCGTCCGTCGTCTGTAAACTTTTCACATTTTCGACTTCTTCTCAAGAACTACTGGGCTAATAATAATCAAACTTGCCACTAAGCATCCTTGGGTGAAGGAGATTCAAGCTTTTTTTCACAGAGCACCTTGCCCTCTTTCAAGGGGAAATAATTAAGAATCCGTGAAAATTTGGTGGCATCTTTTAAAAATCTTCTCCAGAACCACTGCCAAGAAAAGATGAAACTTATGTGAAAGCTTCATTACATACCCTAGATTCAAATTTGTTCATATCGTAACTCCCGGGGGAAGGGCGGGGCCTCAAGAGGGGGTCAAAGTTTTACATAGGAATATATAAGAAATATCTTTAAAGATCTTCTTCTCAAGAATAGCAAGGCCATGATTAGTCATATTATTTAAGAAGTATCCTCAGGTAGTGTAGATTCAAGTTTGTTCCAACCATGACCCCTGGGGGTTGGGCAGGTCCACAAAAAGGGGGGGGTCAAAGTTTACCATAGGAAATATATAAGAAATGTTTTTAAAAATCTTCTCAAGAACAGCAAAGCCATAATTAGTCATATTGTTTAAGAAGTATCCTCAGGTAGTGTGGATTCAAGTTTGTTCCAACCATGTCCCCTCATGTGGGTCAGGGCCACAACAGAGGGGCAAGACTTCAAATAGTGGAATGGCCTGAGAGCCCTTGGAATGGACAAGCTTAGGGGTTTATAAGGCAAAGCTTTGGGAAAGTCAGGCACTCAGAAGGCAGCTGAAGATGTTGGATGATGGATCAGCAATAAAGAAGTTTGGGTTTTCCATCCTAATAGCAAAAATTCTATGAAACGAAATACATAACAGATGTGTAGGTGTTGAATACTCAGTATATTTAGACATAATTTCGATTTATTACTATTAGCATGTAGGGTGGGATGTGTCCTAATTTATGACCTTGAATTTTGGTAAGAGTTATTTCCCTCTGTAATTAATTAATGAAAAAAAAATCAATTTAAAAATCTTACCTGTTAAAAAAATCATTTTTAATTGTCATTCTACGAGGGGCATTTGAAAAGTTCTGAGAACTGCTTGCTAAAATATTAACCATTACACGGAAGTTAAGAAGTTTGTAACCATTGAAAAGAGCTGGAAAAAATTTCACCTATATAAACGTCATTTTATTTTTATTTTTGACGTAATAACTCCAAAAATGACGTCAGAATCTCGAATGTTTAGCACACTGAAAAGTCGCGCTTTTTGTCCACATGAGAACATCGAAAAAGTGCTGTCAAAGGCTTCTTTGAAAAGATATTTCAGAGAAAAATTGTGTGGAGGTAGAGAAAGACTGTAAAAATGTCACAGTAAATCAGTTATTCCATATTTTATTTTTTTTGCTTAGTTAATAAGCACGGTAATTTTATCTTAGGCGTTCATAAAATATCATTATTTATATGATATAGATGGATTTTCGGGCTATTATATAGCTCTCCCCTATATTAAATAAAAGATATTCTATATAAAATTGAAGTGTAACAATGCAGTTTTCCATAAATGTATCTTGAGTGTCAGGACTCTTACCGTGTACGAATAAGACGTACAAACGTCTTCCCCCGGACTTGTGTCTGTGCGTATTTGTTAATATTATTTAAACTTCGGCGATCCAAAACTCACTATTGCTTTTGACTTTCGACTTAAAAAAATAAATCTGAGTTTCTTTGCTATGTACAATCTTATTTATTTTCCATGATTTAAAATTTTCGAACATATCGAGTTACGGCGGGGTAAGAACTACACCGGCGCCATTTTGGTTTTTACGAGAAAATATAGGACACCCCTCGCTTAGCCTCTCTTGAGCTTTAAATGTTCCCGCAAAATTGGTTAAAACACCTGACAAATTAATGCCAGCCAACTCTGTAAAATCGTCCAATATTCTCCTGTTATTGTCAACTTTTTGATTTCTCACAGCAGCCTCTTTTTTACCCAATATTTTGCACGAGATTCGATAATAACATGCTATGTTTGACACACTCTTAAACCATCTCAGAACTATAGGAGCTTCTAAATATAACTTCATGTGATTGGTTGTAGTCTATGTAAACATTTTTCCAACTGGCAGTTGTGTCCGTTAGCTTGCATCGGAGTAATAAACAAAAGTTGACTTTACAATTTTACTTCACTGAAATTGTGTCTCTTGTTACGTCATTTTTATGATCAGTATGCTAGATATTCGAGATTCGGAAGTCATTTTCGGAGTTATTACGTAATAAAAATTACAAAGTGACGTCACAATATGTATATTTTTGTGATCTGTCCAATGATATAAAATTCAGTAATTTCCGTTACAAGGTTAATATTTTATCAAACAGTTCTCAGAACTTTTCAAATGCCCCTCGTATTTCTATTCTATTTTAGTGCATTTTTTCACTACAGTATTTATTGGTTGTCTTATTTTTTTTATTTTTTTAAAAAAGAATTGTTCCATAGACTTCAATGAAATCTTTGTTAAGTACTTAAGTTCTGGGTGTAGTAAATCTGAAGAAGATTGAGACAACTGATTCTTATTTATCAATAGCCAGTGCGCTCAGGTGAGCGATGTAGCCCATGGCTCTCTTGTTACAATATTTTATCCTTTTCAGAGATGGTTTTCTGCCTGATGAGTTCATTTTATTATAGTTCACATACTCTAAATTTGATTCTGACATCTTTAAAATAATAAGTATAGGGTTGAAATCCACTATTCCCCAAGATGTGTAATACATATTTTAGGCATTGCGAGGATTTGTTGTCTGTTTGCCTTAAGACCCTTCCAAAAATTTTACTCATTTTGAGACGCCTCCTGTTGCCAATGGAGGGCTAGAAATGAAGATCTGTACATGTATATGACACTAGTGATCATCGAGCAGTAAGGAATCTTTGTTGCACAAGCGTCTACTACAAAACGGGGTCTCGAATTTTTGGGGTCATACCTGAAGGACTTGTTTCAACGTCCCACAGTAGGATTCTAACTCGAAGTATAAAGGTCAACGCTCTATAAAACATCTCGAAGCGAATCTTGGTTAAGAAACCTGTGCAAGCTCTGGACGTCCATTGATACAATACATATCGGGAGCAGAGCAAACACGTATACCTCTAAAAACATCAGAGGTATGATAAGGTGCCATGGAAGAGTCAGCATCTTCTGTCGACCGGGCACAGTCGCCGTATGCTCCTTGTCATGATTGGTTAATAACAGAAAAATCCGTGGACAATTCAGGTCCTTGTATCGTCCAAAGAACTTGCGAAATATTGACTTCAAACGACACTGTTCACATCCTTGTTTCATCAACTTGTTTGTCAATAGCTTGATTTGTTTTAGAAATTTTTCGTAGAGCGTGCGCTTGTGTATCGAATCAACCATGAGACATAAACTCCATTTGCAGTTAAATGCTCATTTTTGTGTATTTAAGAATCTATTGTCAGTAGTCACTTCTAATAAAGATGACACATGTATGAGATAAATTATAAGTTTAACTGATTGTTTGTGATTAAATTTAACGCCATTTTTCACGTTCAATTTCAAATAATATATCTTGTTTCAAAGGAATATAAAATTATATTTCAGAGTGTGTTTTCAAAGTACCTGTCTGTAGGGAAAAAAAACTCATCTATCCATTTAAGAATTATGTCGGATTTGGGGGAAAGGAAGAAATGTTTAATGATGACCTTGTGCTGAATATACGTATTTCACTTGTAGAAATACAATTGATTAAAGAAATCTCGTTAAATTTTATTTCACTCGTTAATTTTAAAGAAAAACATAATTGTTCGAAGCATTGACTTAATGCGACATACTTGAAAAAGATTAACATTCAAAAGCGCATATGGGTGGCATAAACTTTATATAATATATAAGAAGTCTTCCAATAATGGAATATTTATTTCCCTGATTTGCATGCCTATTTTTACAATGTATTATTATTTCTATTGTTGGAAACATATAATATTAATAATAGAAACATTACTCTATTTAACCACAGCTTCCAGAAATACTGAAATCAATTATCAACTTGCAAATAGATGGCGAAATGCCTTGTTTTGATCCACGTAGCGTCATCTTTATAACGAACAAATGGGATTCAATAAAAAATGACCCGGATGACAGCAGCGATGAAGATGATGTGAAAAAGACATGGAAAAAAATAACAGACAGCATTAATAGAAACTGGCCTTCAGTCAGGAAAGAAAATATCTTCAAAATGAATTTAATAGATGTAAGATTTCCACTACTGCATTTATGTTTGTCATTTTCGTACGCATCAGAAAAAGAGCAGTTTTATTATTCAACCAATCAAGATTCTGAATCTTAAGGATTAAATGTTGTTTATTTTTATAGATTTGTTTTCTTCAATCAAGTAATAGAAAAAAAAAGTTCTTACCAAAATCAGGGGTGTGTGTGCAATCTGAATAATACTAATTAATATACACTGCTAAATTTTGATATACATGTGTGATTTTGGTATCTGAAATATAGAAATCATCATTAAGGGCCTACTGATATCAGTTTTCTGTATCTAAATAATAAAAGTAGTAACAAAAAAAAAAAAGAAGTAATTAAAGCTATATTTTTGAAGAGTGTGCAGCTTGCACTTTTCATAAGAATTTCAATGAAATGTGAAGATAACTAACAGACACCATGCTCAAAAGGCAATATGAACTTTGAGGAAGGAAACACGGACCTTTAGGAATAAAGGTGGGAGTGGGTGCAATGAAGAAGTGAGCTTCCCCTGTCGACCGGTCACACACGCCGTGTGTTCCTTTTCAAGGTTGAGCAAACGGAAAAATCCGTAGACGATGTAGTGTGAAAATAAGGGTCCAACAATATGTACGAAAGACGTAAGTCAGCTTTCGACTTAAAGGCAGATTGTATTTGCAAACAAGGTCATAATATCGACCATAGAATGTGCGAAATGTTGATTCTAAATGAGATAATTGATTTCTTGATTATGATTTTTTTTTGGATACAGAGGCAGGCGACTGACAGATAAGTTGATGTTTTGGGGATTTTAACAACGTCATTTAAAGTCAGCATTTCGTAAATTCTATGCATATTATTATAATGACCTATTAAGCAAATATAACCTGTCATTGAGTCTTATTTTGGCTGACGTGTTTCATACAAATTGTTAGGCTTTTTATACTAAATTTGACTAAGAAATGTTTTGTCTACATGGTCAATAAATAGGGCTCAGCACGGGTGTGACCGGTCGACAGGGGATGCTTACTTCGCCTAGGCACCAGATCCATGCGCTGGAATTTCCGGGGTCTGTGTTCTATGCCATGTTCACAGATTTGTATTGTGTGTATGATGTTTTTGATATAGATCACTATTCATTATCTTCCCCTTTTCATTTAATTATCAACTTATTTGTCAAAACCTGCCTCCTCTCGAAATTTTCCTTAAGAAGAACATGCTCTTGAGTATCGAATCATTTGGGAGACATAAACTCCACTTGATTATAATAATGGTATAATGTTATATAATCCATTTTTCGATGTCAGATAAATATTAGCAGTTTATAAGAAGATAGAAAGAACAGTGGAATAAATATGTTTTATTTTATAGGTATACAGAGAAGACTCTTCGACAATAGAATTTGAAAAATTTCGCAAGGCTTTGGAAAAAGTAATAAAGGAAAATGAAAACATTAGGCTCACACAGCACTTCAGGTAACTTAGCCATGAAATGTTCTTTTTTTTTTTACTATTGTGAATTAAAGTGTGCATTATGGCACTATGCCAGCCTGTAGTGTATAAAAATGAACTGTAGTTTCTTTTATTAAAAGATGTGTATCATGGTTCACTTTTTGTAAATTAAAGTTTCATTGATACTGTAATGAACTATACTTTAGAAAAAGTATCTTTTTCCTGTGGCATGCTACCAAGTATAAAGCCTTTTAGTTATTAGTCCCCTAATGGGTAAAAGCGAAGGGGACTATAGGTTTCCTCTGAGTCTGTCCGTCCGTCTGTCTGTCTGTCTGTCTGTCCAGCTGTCCCTCTGTCTGTCTGTCAGTCTGTCCCACTTGGTTTTCCGCACTTTTTCCCTAAAGCAAATATTGAGCTGATTTTTGGTATGTGAGTGTATCTTAATCATTTACAGAAAAGTTTGCATTTCGTTCCGCTTCATTGATTTTTGACAGAATTACGACCTTTTCAATTTTTAAGAGTTTTCCGCAATTTATTTCTAAACGTTTGCAGATATTGAGCTGATTTTTGGCATGTGACTTTACCTTGATTAGTCATAGATAAAGTTTGCATTTAATTCCGTTTCAATGATTTTTGACGAAATATGGCATGTTTTATTTTTAACGGGAACCAGATTACACTTGCCGGTAGGGGACTAGTATTGCTAATGCAATACTTTCAGAATGCTTGTTACCTTGAAAGTATTTTTATCTAGATTTCCTCTTCCATATTGTGTTATACTGAGTTATATTGATACATGCATTAAACCCACCTATATTAAAGTTGGGATATCGATTTCATGCACGATCATCTATGCACAAGCTTCCACACTCCATGGATGTTAGTTCGAGAAGAAACAATTTACAGTATATTCCTGAATATTGGAAAAGGAATCATAATCCCTTCATTTGGCGAGGAGCACAGTTTGTGAATTTGATTCCTATCTTTTGTTTATATGTTGCTGAAAAAACATGTACAGCCCTTGATGAACTATCTGCTCGCAAATTCACTTTATTCTTCAAGTTATTTTTGCGATGTTAAGTACTCGCGTAAAATAATAAATCTGAGGTAATGCACCCCGTGACCTGAATTTTAAATGTAATATATTTTGATCGGTCAATATCCGCTTCTCCAAAGGCAATATGTAATCAAAATTGTAATCAAAATTGACAGTGGTACTTGCATAACCATGCAATATTTCAGTCTATTATATTTCAGACTATTATATTCTGGGAGGGTAATTTTTCCTCCTAAAAACACTCAAGTTAATGTTAATTAAGATAGAGGTGCTATTCATATCATTTATTCATATCATTTATGTTTTTTTTTTTCTTTCAGGTATCTGTGTACACTCTTGGAAGATGTACGCACAGGAGTACGCACAAGACAAGAATTGACAAATAAATCAAAAAATGAACAAGAAAGGAAAAGCAGAGAGCATCAAATGAAAATTAATATGTTGAGGAACCATTGCAAAACGGTAATTATTGTGATCACCCTGTAAAAATTAGAATAACATTGGAACTACCTATGAAATAATTACCGAACCAAATTCTCGAAATCGTTATTCGTTGGCCTTACTGAACAGTTAATATATAGAATACACAACACATAGTGTGTCACGGTCGTAATAAGTTTTATCAAATTACTTTGATAAGAGGAAAACTGTGCATTTTGATGTCTGAAAGTTATTTTGTGAAATTTTGTGGGTTTTTTTTTTTTTTTGTCTGTTTTTTAACCTCCTTAAGAGAATTTTTCACTAATATTGAGGTGCCACCACTTGCCGATGGAGGGCTGCAAATTTAGACCTGGCTCCGGGGCCATAAAACTTAGATGAGCTCACTTCTTAGTCTCACTTTTCCACTATAAATTCCTTTTGTAAAAGTGAGACTGAGATCAAAAGTGAGCTTAGCTTTATAGCCCCAGTGCCTGTACTCGGCACGTACGGCCTATGAACATTGAGGGATCCTCTCTTTGCCAGTGCCTACTGCGACACGGGACCTCAGTTTAACCAGTTTCATCCAAAGGACCGGTTTTCATATCCTGCACTTTGATCCGCGAGTCTAGAGCAAATGTTCTAACCACTGGGTCAAGCGTGCGACTGAGAAATTGTGAATTTCTTGCATTCAGTGCTAAATTTGAATAAGCTGAATTTATCTGCCAAATAAGTTAACGTTCAAACACTGTCGCTAGTACTTCTTTAAAAACACAATTGACAAAAATAATTTCAGTAAACAAATATTTTCCCGACATTTTCAAGCCAATCATAGCTACTTTGCAATGTTATCACATTTCTAGAAACTAAACTCAAACTTTCATGGATTTTGAGGATCATTGTGTACATTTTTATTGCAAATTAGATCACATGATTATATTTTAATCCTATATAATGCTCCGGAATACAATTTTACCTGTAATAATCACATTTTTCAGTATTCCTTTTTCAGAGAAGCAATGACTGGCGACAGCGCATCGAAAGCTTTATAGAACAAGAAGCAAATGAAAGTTTTAAATATATGTCATCTGACATTGGTAAGGAAAGAATCCTTAATCCCAAAGGCTGGGAACCAATAATGGAGGTAACATATGTTCCTAACAAACTTTGTGACGACGTTCGGGATAGGATTAACCACTATATAAATGAAAAAGTACGGTCCCCTAAGGTTGTTGAAGAATTCAAGAACATCAAAGACGAAATATTGGAGTTCTATAAAGAAATGTCCTCAGAAATAGAAAAAATGGAAAGGTACTAACCAAGAAAAAAGCTCACAAAGGGAGGCAACTTCCAAAGAGGAATCAGTCGCACCTTATGTAGCTGGGGTGATTGCTACATCTCCAATATGGTTCCCACTGCTAGCTGTTGGTTTTGCAATTGCTGTAGCTTCGGTACCCTTTGCTGCACCAGTCCTTGCCTTTTTAAGCAGAGATAGCAGAAAAAAGAAAATAATAGATGAAGAATATGAAAAATATAAATCGGTATTTAGATGCAAAGTATGTAATGCACTGGAAAGCAATCACGGAGATGCATTGAATAAATTGATATCAAAGGTCACGAATGTTATTTTGCAAAGAAGAATAAAATTTATCGAAGAAACGATCAAAGAGCTTTCTCAAAACCGGGAGAAAATAATTGCGAGCCAACAAAGTTTAAAGCTCCTGGCAGAACAGATCAAGTTTATTAAAGATATGGCAGAAGAAATAAAGCAAGCATAATACACCCGTACATCTGATTAAATGTGAAATAAAAAGTCAGAAAGAAAAAGTGAATGTATAATTTTATGAATTGTAACATATATTTTCATGTGTTTATGGACATTAAAAGTAGGTCCAACGAGATAGAGTACTTCATAATGAAATATTTCACTTTAACCAAAGTTTCTGTGGAAGGTTGAAAAGGAGCGCATAAAACAAAAGACTTGATGCATAGAATCTGAAACCTGTGAAACGTAGAAGGCTGCATTCGTCAAAATATATATGAATGTAACTATCAAAGTGATTGTTTCATTAAAAACATTGTTTATTGGTTACTAAAGAATTGTATTTAGAAATAATCTCGACTATTTGGTGTAAATTAATTTCTCTTTTATTTCTAAAGTAGCTGATTTTTGTTCGTCTAAGAGAATATAACTGTATGTATAAAGTATATTGCACTTAAATTATTCTTGAAAAACATAAGCCAATTTACCTATGCATATAAGTTAGTAAGATTAAATTTAATATATGAAACTGGTTCTAAAAAGGTATAGGGGAAGAAAATTCATGTTAAATGTAAACATTGAATATACATGCATATTTAAGGAAAAGAATTTACCATGGAGTGGTTTGAGCATGATTTTAGAAGTTACATAATTGTAGTGCCATTATTCCTTTCTATATTTCGCGAGGTTATGATTACATACACAATTACATGTTCATTTTCAAAATGATCCTTTTAACTGCAAATACGTGATTTTGCATTGCATAATCACGATAATTTTTTGATGTATCACTGAATGTGTTCAATAAATATTATTTCTCCCATTTTCAACTGTGTTTCTTCACTTTTTCGCCAGCCAAAATATCGTTGAAATATTGCCGACTCAGCATTAAACAATAAACAATCAATCAATCAATTATGAAAAAACCTAGATAGGTTTTGATCAGAGGATGTTAAAAAGGTGAAGATAGTAAGAAACAATGATTGGTCTAAAGAAATTCTACAAACAATACAAATCTACGAAAAGGGCAAAATCCATGGACTCCTAGAACTTCCAGAGGTGGGTCCGATATCACCCGCTTTGAACCCTAAGTATTAATCGAGTAGACAGGATAATTTTTTTTTTTAATTTCAAATACTCATCCATATAATAAATAAAAAAAATAATAAGCTAAGTTGTCTAATGTTTATTTTCAAGTGATATCAAGCAAAACAATGATCAACTCTATAGTGTATTTTGTGTTGCATCTAGGATACTCACGCCGAATCATTTACGGACTTCTGTAATTGATACCATATCCCAATATCAGGAAACATTTTTGGTGTTCTGATAACTACATCTAAGATACTTTATTTGTTTACTGGTCGTATTTTGTTTATTTCTTTCCTTGTTTGTTTGTTTAACTCTCTTTGAGAATTTTAAACTCATATTGGGACGCCACCACTTGCTGGTGGAGGGCTGCAAATTTGGACCTGTACTCGGCACTTACGGCCTTTGAGCAGTGACCACTGCTGCATGGGAGCTCGGTTAATACGGTTTCATCCGAAGGACCGGTCTCCAAGCTGGGATTCAACCCTTGATGTAAGGATAAACTGCTTGCTCCTCGACTCTCTAGCAAACGCTCTAACCACTGAGGCAAGCGGACAACCCTGAACATATTTTAAGACAGTCGACACTTATAATAGCTATCGAAGCAGTCTCTAAATTTTGTACATTAAAGGATTTATGTTGTCAATTGAATATTGAGAGAAACGACACATCAATGCAAAACAAATAATGTCCTTCATTTCTTCCATACCTTTTTTTTCTCTCAAAATATCATAATAAAAGCAGCTCACTCTTTAATTGTACCTCTATAATGTCCGTACAAGGTGCCACTTTAAATGAGGTAGAGGCGTAGCTAATCCTATCTTTAATTAATTTTTATCTAAAATGTTCTCTTTTTTATTTAAGATCGAAGAAAGGTATATTAATAATCATTAAATCACAAGATAATTAAAATATTCTTCTTCAACAATTATCGAGTGTGAATGAAACGATTGCAATCGTAAAAAAAAGGTGATGTGTCAGTGTGTCAATTATTTCCGATTGCACAAGTCCCATAGAGTCTTTATTCGGATACTAAAGAAAAATATATGGGTTATTTCCAGTCATAATATTTGAATATATTTTCAAAAATATATCAGATTAACAACATATTATCCACATTCACTTATGAATGGTCATATTCCTTTTACCACAAAACTGAATATGAATTGAATATCTAGATTCTTATTCATAAAAAGTCGAAGAATTTTCTTAAGCATACACTAAAATATATCAAGTACATTCTCAGCTAAGTAAGATGCTAAAGTTACGTTACATAAAACTTCTAAGCAACATGCTTAGTAATTCATAGCTTTGGAAATCACAGTCTGCTTAAATATATAATTGTCTTGTCAATAAAGTCACCATCGATTTCAGTTAATGCATACAATAATTAAAATTAAACAAATAAAAACATAACAACGCCTGTACCATCCTGACCCCATATGCCCAACTTTCCTGCTGGACGCACTTGCTAAACGCATAATGCAATGAATTGATCAGTCTCTGAGTTACATTTTTACTATCGTATAACGGATATTTTCTGCTGTTGGATTTTTTTGGAATTGATCCCTGAAGGGTATCAAATTAATTTCTGCGTTTTCAATTGCTGCTGTTGATTATACCAAAAAAATATTTACAGGATATGAATGCAATATTATAAGAATGTGCTCGTAAGTCTTTTTAATAAAACAGTAAAAATATTTTTGTTTGACAAGTTGTTTGACAAGTTTACTATAAAACCTTTAGAAAACTATCGTAAATAAAAATATCAATTGTAAATTAAAATGTCATTGACTTTTAATTTTGTCTGATTCTATCTTTTTTTTTTTTTTTTGGGGGGGGGGGGTTGATCCTCGTGGCAAGGTGGAAAATTAACCTTTAATGCTGATATGTTACGCAAATGCATTAAATATTAGATTTATGATTGGTTTGGATACAGCATTCCTTTCATAGAATGACAAGATCTGCCAATGTATACGTATTGACTTAAGAAATAATTTCTTTTTAAATTTGTGAGCATTATTGATGTCTAAATCACAAAAACCTGTCACAAGCATATTTCATTTAAACGCACCAGTCTATGTGCAAGTCTTTGTTATTTACTCGGCAACAACATTCACAACCTGAAAAAAATTCTTTGTATTTACAATGCTTAAACCCAACAGAAATATAGTGAAGACTTGAATATGTTGTTGCCCTATGGCTTTATATTTTTGTTATGTCTCATTAGCCCAGTTGTGACCTGTTTTTTGCGCGAGCTTTTCCGTGTATATTTTTACGCATGACCATATACAAAAATGGTATTTGAATTAATTCCACAGTTGTAAAAAAAAAAACACATCAAATGTAAATTTAAAAAAAATTAACTGGGGTTATATGTATATGATTATATAAAGCAGGATGAGTTGCGAAAGTATTTTTATTAAAGAAAGGGTTATCCAGTTGTGACTACCTGCATGTAATCTAGTTCAAATTCGACGCTTCTTGTGTTCAATGAGAGAAAGTTCAATAATGTAAAACGCAAATCTGTCGTGATGCAGCAGCACTTTCCAGAAACATAAGTAAGACTAACTGCATACATCATGAGCTTGTCAAATATTGTAATCAAATTTAACTCAATACATAATCAGCTATACTGTTATAAAGTGGTCTGTTACTTGGAATTTTACTAATGGCGAACTTAAATTGAACAAATTTACGTCAATGCTTCGTTGATTTTCATAATACACCTTAGAGTGCTTAATAACCAAGACTTCCATATCCAAAACGTTCTCATACGTAATAATAAACTTGTTCTTTCAAATAAATTACACAAATGATTTAAACAAAATTGTGAATGCATGACTTTATATGTAGTTATGTGTAGAGCTGAAGTTCTCGTTAAATGTAGACTAATATGCAGCAATTCTATACGTAGTAATTATCTTAATTAAATTAAAAATGAAAGAAGAAGTGAGCGAGCTCACATACCCCACGCTCCCCAAAACTCGACAATGCAACACGTAATGAATGGCACAGTGCAAGCCATGCATTTCAAATACAATAAATATAATTCAAAAAGGGGCATCACATCAAAACTTCTTGCATATAAGGACATTCAAATCTTTGTATGTTACAAATTTAATTGGGCTCAAATTTTCTTGGTAATATACAAATCTATACATTATGTCTGAAATACCTACAAAGTTTCAGGAAATTCAGTGCAGGAGTTATGCTGACAAACTGTTATTTAGATTCCTCAGTGATTTCGATTTGTTAATGAGTGTAAGTCCATGTCCAACACATGACAATTTACACATTTAAATAATTGATGGAAACAAAATTATGATGTAGTCATATGAATTTGTTTATTTACTGTACTTATGAAATTTTTTAAGGCAAAGCACCAATTTGGGGTGGGTAAGGGGGGGGGGGGGGGGTGGACTATCCAAGATTGTGTGTGTGTGTGTGTGTGTGTGTGTGTGTGT